GTGGGAGGCATTTCTTTAGCACAGCAGGAAGCTTTGGTCCCAAACTCGGAGATGTGAGGTAGGCCAAAGGCACAGTGACTTGTGTTTTCCTTTCATCTCAGGAAAAAGTGTGCTCTGCAGTTTCTCCTTTTGTTGCCTGCAGTTGCCAGATTGAACGTTGTGTTTCTACCCTGCTCTTGAAACTTTTGAGTGACCTCATCTTTTCTTCTCTAACGAGGGACCCAAATGTCATACTGCCAAAGGCATCTTTCCCAGCACAGGACTGCTAATTGCACGGGGATAGGGAGAGCCATTCCTGGCTCTTGCTTGTGAGCTGATAGCTTGCAGCTTTGCTCTCATTCTCCCCCCCCAGCCACATGCATTTCAGCACATCTTCCCTGGAGGTTTGGAGATGTTGAATGCATGAAGGTGAGACATTTCTTCATCTCTTTCACACCTCTTTTCCCTTCTGGACATTTGCTTCCCTGGCTTGCCAGCACTGCAGAGTGAACCTGTCCTCTGTGTTTGCAAAGTCATCCCAGCCCAGCCTCCCACATCTCTGGGTTTCATGAGGTTGCTGCTAGCAGGTTCCAAATGCTGCTGACTTGCCAGCGGTTCTTGAGGGTAGGTACAAAGCAGACAGAGTTCTCTAGCTGGCAGGGCAGCATCTTGACTTTCATTGTATGAATGACCTTCCAAAGAAACCACCATTTTTCTGTGGTCTTAAAATAAGTAAAGCAGGGAAAGGCCCTCTCTCTGCACCGTACTCCAACCCATCCAGAGGTACCCAGTTATCATGCTGAGCATGGTTGCCTCTGATAGTGCAGTAAAGGGGGAGATGCCCTTAGCACAGCTTCAACAGCATAACCACAGTGCTTCTTCAAGGAACAGCCTCTCGGGTCCCTGTGGTCTGTGACCATCTGACATCACTGTGATGTCAACCAGTAATGGTGCATCAGCTACTCATATCATCGACTGTGCTATTGATGTGATGTTGGTGGAAGACCTTGTTTCACTCACTGAGATGTCAGCTGAGTTGACTTTCTCAGGGAAGGAAATGCCAGTTGTGTCTGGGCCCTGCACACTTGTGTCCTGTTGTATGAGCTGCCCAAATGAACTCCTTCACGGATACTGGGGAGGTGCGCTACTTGGGAAAGCAATATCAAAAATGAAATCAGAGTTATCCGTTGCCAGAATAATTACTTGATCTAGGAAAACTGAAGAAGCGCTAAGAGCCTCTGCAGCCAAAACTTCCTTCTTCTGTCTGGTTCCCTGATAGAAGGGGGACACAAAAATGGAGCATCTGTTCTAATTAATGACGGAAGCTCAGAGCGTTGGGATCAAAGGAGAAAGTTGTGTGCAGAATCAAGCTCAGATCAAAGTGTTCTAAGAAGAGGAAAAGGCCAACTCCTCCTTCAGCTGATGGCGGTGTACCCTGCTCTGCCTCCAGGCGTGCTGCTTGCAGAGATGCTAAGTAATGAAGCTGTACGTGCAGGAGATGGTGTAATGGCCATCATAATCCAGCACTAGGAGAAGAAAGACTTGGTGGTGACTGGTTCTTGTTGCCTCACAAATCATTAAATTTCTCTGAATGCTTAGATCAAGATAGTATACCTTGGCAAAAGGGGACCTTTTACAACATCCTTTGCTTGTTTGTTTGTTTTTCTCACCTCTTATGTGTAATTTGACTTACTAGACTGGGCTGTATATATGTGCTTATGTCTATATTTGCATTTATACCTACCCAGGGGAATTTAAGCCTTCATTCCTTAGGCTACACTGAAGAACCTTTACCCCAATACATATGCTAAATTTGAAATTTCTTCCTCCCTCTCTCCCTTGCCTCTTTCCTTTTACATTAATGCAAAAGCACATTTTTGCAACTCCTAATTTTGAAATGTTTAAATATGTAATGTTTGGTTCAGTTTTCCTCCTAGGTGTCTTCCTGGGCATAGCGGTTGATGTGTATGTGCCTTTGTGTGCAGCCACCTGTGTTTTGGGCCACGAGTATTGGTGTGGAAGGATGCTGTCACACAGATCCCTGCATAGATGGACAAGTGCACGTGTAACCACATTACATTTTCTAATAGTCTGAGCTGTAAAGAAAGATGCTGTAGCCCCTGAAGAGGATTTGATCTTTGCTCTTTTAGCTGTCTTCCTGAGAGAGGAGCTGTGCTGTAGTAATGCCCCTCCGGTGCTGTGTTAACGCACCAGCCTACCTCCCTGTTTATGCTGGTGGAAGAGAAAGTTGCCTGCATTTGGTCTCCTGCTTCCCCTGTCGTCTTGGTTAAGCGTACTTGTCAGAAGCGGTTGTGTATGTTTTCCCCAGCTGTAGCCCTGCAGGTGCCACTTAGCTTAACAAAATGAGTCCTTGTCTGTAAGTGCTGCCTGCCTTGTGTGCATCTTGGGCCAAAGAGCAGCTGACAGGCAAAGGCAAGTCTACAGAGCTGGCTTGCCCAATGCTTTAATAAGGCAGAGACAGGAGAGCATGATGTATTGCAAGAGCACGCATCTTGCGTGCCCAGCCTCAAAGCCATTCCTCGGAAGGAGAAATGGACAGAAACCTCAGCTGTTCCTTACTGCCCTTTCACTCCATGGCTTTCAGATTGAAAGGGTTGCTGTTGTGCTTTGAAAGAGTGGGAAAATTGTGGTGACTGAAGGCGAGAATAGAGCCCTGCAAGAGGAAAGGGCTCATAAGCAGATCTGGATATTCTCAAATGAATTGGCAGTGAATAAATTATGCATGATCTATTTTAGTATTTTTATTATTCTGTTTGCAATCAACTAATCACAAATATTTGGAACACTGAAAGAGGGGTTAAATATGAAAATCACATCGTCTTGGTGATTGCGTGATTGACGAAACTAAGCCTGCAGTATAAATTGGAAAATCAAACTTTTCCAGAATATTTGCCATTAGTGAATACTCACACTGAAGTATTACTCTTCCTGATTTACAAGAATTTGAATATATGAGTATTTCTTGGAGGAGAATAAGGTATGGGGCTGAAGAACATGTTTTGCTTTTCCAAATCAGATGAGAAGTTGAGGGCAGATCATAGGAAACATTTCATAAAATCTACGGTGAAGGTGGCAGAAGAGCTTTCTGCTCCACATTAGAGAGTTTATCCAGTTAAATGTCCAGTGTTTAACACATGGATGGTGGCAGGAATGGATGTGTAGTCATGCCAATATAACCTTCCATGTCAGGCTTGAAGATAAGAAGATCTCTTGTCCGACTAATATTCATTAAGAGATATCTCACTTCTGGTCTATGGGCCACTGCAACTGCCTGGCCAGCCATAGTAAGGAACTCAAGAGCCCAAAACTACTCCCAGTCTATTGGCCACAGAAGCAACTGGAAGGCAGATGCCTTGTAATAAAGGTCATGTTTATTACTGGCCCTTCAAATTGTTTACTTCCGCTTGCAGCTGATAGCCCTTCATAGGAGATTGATGGATTAAACTTTCACCAGCTGTTCTGTGTCCAGGCACATCATTCTGACAGATTTTTAGGACCCAAGCTAAACTGTTTTGCTAAGATTTTCCAAAGTGCTGCATATTTTTAAACATGTTCCAAGCTTGTGAGAAAAATCAGTCTTTATTTTTTCTTGCCACGTAAGGAACTAATGAATCAATTTAAAGTGGTGTTTTGTTTGGCTCTGTTTTAAAGCATTTCTGAGCCTTCCAGAACTACCTGCACCTTTGGAGGTAGGAGTCAGGGAAGAAGGAACATGTGTAGGAATTGGAAAGTGTGGAGGAGGTTATGGATGGTAGGGAAGATCCTTGTGTATTGCAGCTCCAGAGCAGTCAGTCCAAATCGAGGAACTCATCATAGGCTGCTCAAGTGCCAATAACTTTGAACTACACCCAGGTGTTAGCAATATTCTGCTGGGTTGAAAAGGACCACAATGCTCATCTAGTTTCAACTCCCTGCTATGTGCAGGGTCGCCAACCAGCAGACCAGGCTGCCCAGAGCCACATCCAGGCTGGCCTTGAATGCCTCCAGGGATGGGGCATCCACAGCCTCCTTGGGCAACCTGTTCAGTGCGTCACCACCTCTGTGTGAAAAATTTCCTCCTAATATCTAACCTAATCCTCCTCTGTCTCATATTGCCTTGGAGCTTGAAAGCTCCTTACCATCTCCAGCAGTCTTCCACATGCACTGGAGACAGCAAGCTAGCAAACTATGAAAAAAAAAAAAATTGAAAAAGAAGAGAGATGTCATCTGAAGTCATTTTCATATTGTGAAAACAGTGCTTTAAAGAATTTTAGTGCTACTCAGAACACTGCAGCCTTGAGCTTCTGTACTGGAAAGTTGGGGCTTGTCAGGCTTTGTGTTCCGTCCACCCTGTGTGGAATGCAAAGAAGTGAATGGAGAAAATGCTGGAATATGAAGGAGAATGGATCAGATCCTCTATAATCAGTAGTCATTTTTCACTAGCTAGGAATAAATACATGGTGTGGAAAGATTTAGATTTTTAATCTTTGAAATTAAAAAATAACAATGAAGTGTTTCTGTCCATGTTGGACTTCATAAGGAAGAGAAGCTGTGGGCGAGAGCTGTGTTTTTTCTTTAAATAATATGCATTCTCTCTTCTTACCCCTTGATGAAGCCTTTCAGAGTGCACTTTCCTTTTCTGTTTCACTGATGTTAAATATCATTAAGATTGATGAGTTTGAAAACATATTTCATTATCTCCTAAATACAGCTTGGCTGCTCTTACAGCTCTTTCCCTGTCTCCAAAACAAAGTCTGATGTTCTCTGAGGCTCTGAAATGAGAATGCTCTTACTTAAAAGGAACGCCTAGCTGCATCTGCCTCTGGAAGATGTCTGCATGAGAGCAGCCTGATCTGTTGGGGGAGGAATATAACTCCCTAGCTTGCAGTAATTGGTAAGGAACAGCTATGTAACAACAGAATGCTGCTGTCGTAACCTGGATGTACATAGGGCCAACTGAAATGTTTGAATTGAGATTCCTTCTCCTGAAATGCTTGAACTGGGTCATCTTCTCTTTCCAGGCATGGTGTGTCCTCTGGAGGTATCAGTCAGTTCAGGGAGTATTCAAGTTGCCCGAGGCCAGACAGCAGTATTGCCCTGCACCTTCACCACTAATGCTGCTCTCACTAACCTTAATGTCATATGGATGGTCACTCCTCTTTCTAACGCCAACCAGCCTGAACAGGTAGGTCTCTTCTCACTGGAGTATGCATTTTCTTGGGGCTTTCCTTTTCTTCACCCTTTCAACACTGATCTACATGTAGTCTGCCTCTTACTTTTGCAAGGCCACTCTTACGAACGTTAGCAAGTGAGAGCCAACCATGGTGGCACTAGAATTGTAACCTGAGAGCTGTTGGGCTGAATTCTATCCACATACGTAGAAGCCAGAAGAAATCCATTGCTCTGAAGTGGGTCTATCTTGGGTCACACCGCCTCCATAACATTTGTTGTTCAGCTGTGTGATTCAGTATCCTGCACTGAAGAGAACTTTCTCCTCAGGGACCTGGTCTGAGTACAGACTGCTATCTAAACTGCTAGGTTGACAGAAGGTGTACAGACTCAAGGGTTGTACTGCCCATATTCAGTTCACTTCAGATCATCAGTGAGCAGTGTCACATAATGGCAGGACATTACTTGCTGACACACAAAACGATTCTGTCCACCACCAGGTGGATGATTCTGTGAAGTATTTACTGGCCTGCAGAGAGTCTACCTCTCTACATTGGGTGTCCAGATGGGTAATGATTGTTATACGAAATAAGCTGCTATTACAAATCTAGTTATGCCAGAAGACTTGGGTATTTGGTCTGTTCCCTTCATGAACATTTTTACCGGCATAATCTCCTCTATAGAAAACACTTCTCATAGGATCAGTTTTTCTGGGTCGACTGTTGTATACTGATGTTTGGTTATTCAGAAAGCTTTTAAGAAATAATCCTTTTAGCTTTGGAAGCCCATATTTGCTTGTCCTTCTCCCTCCTTGCTCAGTCTGTTCGGAGTATCGTTTGAACTTTCCTTTCTTTTCCAGGTTATTCTCTACCAAGGAGGTCAGATCTTTGGTGGTGCACCCCAATTCTATGGGCGAGTGGGGTTTGCTGTGACAATGCCAACCACCAGTGCCTCCATCTTCATCAACAACACCCAGCTATCAGACACTGGCACATACCAGTGTTTGGTCAACAATCTACCTGATAGAGGCAGCAGGAATATTGGAGTCATCGGACTCACTGTCTTGGGTGTGTTTATTGGGATTGTGGGGAAGGGGGGGGAACTGGGGTATGGGAATCCTCTGTATGATAGCACTCATAGCAGAAAAATATGGTGTTGTGTACATTGGATCCTGTGGACATACTGTGATGAGGGACAGGGTTGGTTGTGAGTATTGTGGGAGTATATAGGCACACACTCCTCATATGCAGATGTTGTATTAGAGAGTTTTAAAATATGGTGGGGAGAAAGACTTGAGGCAAGTTTGTGATGTGGAGTTGCAAAGAAGCATGAAAAAAGGGTGGGTGCATTTATGAGATCTAAGGGGTTATAACAGGCTTGTGCATAGCAACAGGAGAAAAGGATGGACTTTAGAGATTTACTTCCTTCTCATAACAGTAATATTGGATGTTATAGCGCAGAGTGTGTGCCATTATAAGGCAGTGAAAACAAAACCAAACCACAGGAAATTCATTTTGCAGCCCTCTTAGTTGTTGCCACTCTTGCTGTCCCAAGAGTTGAAGTCTTCACCCTTTTTTCTCTAGGGATTTGTTTAAGACAAGTTGGTCCTGGGAAAGCAGTTGTCCATTACCTTGATGAGCTTTTCAGTCAGGAATCTTTGTCTGTTGTCATCCCTCAAATCTCAATGGGTTCTTGTCTGCTACCTCCTTTCTGGGCTTTGTCTGCTTCTCATTCCCTGTCAGCTCATGCCAGACTCCTTGATTTCCCCTGCAGTGTGTCCAGAAAGAGCCTGTACTCTACTGCTCGATTATTTTTCCTGATCTGCTGTCACTTTCCCCTCTTCTCTTGTAGTTCCTCCTTCCGCCCCACTTTGCAGAATCCAAGGGTCCTTGGAAGTGGGCAGCGATATCACACTGACCTGCAGCTCGGAAGAAGGCATCCCCCGGCCAACATACCTCTGGGAGAAACTGGACAATGTTCCCAAGTTGCCCCCAACTGCCACACAAGGTGCTTGTTCTATTGATTATCCTCTTACTTCCCAGGTGGCAGCCTGGTCTTTCCTTTGTCTGAGCTGCCAGAGATGACATGGTTCTCTGAGTGTCTGCCATCGCTTGCATGATCACTTGTTTGAAACGAAGATTCCTGGAGTGCTTGGAGGCTATGTTGGACTAGGTACTCACCAGCAACCATTTAAAGTTTCGTCTTATTTTGGTATGGAACAAATGTTCCCAGTTGAGGAACAAGGATCTTTTTAAATGGAAGCAAGAGAATATGGTTGCTAGATGTTTGCACGCCTGGAGATTTCAACTGCAACCTCATCTGCACAAGGCTCATAGATTGGAAAATAGAAGGGAGGCAGAATCATTCCATGAAAATCCTGCCAGCTTTTCACACTGAGTGTGTTGTGACTGGAGCTATCTTTCAGATGCATGTAAAAGCAAGGCTCTGACCAGATTGAATATTGCCCAGACACTAAGTCTTACCCATGAGGTTTCTTAGCCTACATGTGCTGACCAAATGGAGACAATAGCACTTTTGTCCTTTGTCTTGCTATATTTTAAAAATACACAAGAATTTTAGTTTTAGGTAATTCAGGAATGAGGAAAATTGGAAGAGCATGGAGCAGGGAACTCAGGGATAGGTAGGAAAGCAGGATGCTGGAAGGCAGAGCTCAATATAGCAGGTAGATCTGGGTATTGCACGTCTCTTTTTTCCTCCTTTCTCTCACGTAGTAATATGAGCCCCAAGCTTTCATTTGCAGAAATTCATCTGTAGGAAGAAAAAGAAACATCTAGTGTAAGCTCCTTAAGACCTAATCTTGTGTGTGTGCACAATGCTTCCATCTCAGGGTTACTTCCTAATTTATTTATCTCTTAAGAGTCTCACACATCAATTCTCTATTTGCTGGATTTGCCTTTTCATGGTTTTCCTCAAGCCCGGGGGAGGGATTTAAATCCTTCTTTTCTCTCTAACTAGACCAAGTCCAGGGCACTGTCACTCTCCGAAATATCAGCACTGTGTCCTCAGGTCTTTACCAATGTGTGGCTTCAAATGCCATTGGAACCAGCACTTGCCTTCTGGACCTGCAAGTCGTTGCACGTAAGTATTTTGCCAAGGGAGACTTGGTCAACTGCTTCTGTCTTGTGACAGTAACACATGTAACCATGTTTGCTGTGTACCAACTTGTGCCTCTCTATCAGAAGATCGTTGTACCCTGGAATGGGGATACCGCCTTTCCCTGCTTCTAAGCTTCAAATGCTCACAGGTGGCCACAGCCCAGCCCTGATTTCTTCTTCATTCTCTGTTCACTCCTCCCCACAGCCCACCCCTGGAGCATCAGCCTCGTTGCTGGAGCAGTGGCCACAGGTGCTGTTGTGCTTATTGTCTGCATTGTGTTGGTGGCCATAGCACTGTTCTACTGGAAAAATAAACACAAAGAAGAAGAAGAAGAGGAGATTCCCAATGAGATAAGGTAGGGGCCGGGGATCTGGTGCCTGGAAACCCCTGATCAGCCAGCAAAAGCAGCAGCTAGCAGGAAGGCAAGCAGAATCCCTACTTTTCATAATCCTTAGGTGTGTTCCCTGGGGTAAGGTAAGGCCTCCATATTTGTCCAAAAAATAGCGGAAGCAAATGAAGGATGGCAACTACAGATTTTTCTTTCTGAGTTGCCTTTATAGGGAGCTTCAGCTTGACACTATTAGCTCTGAAGGAGAGTGACTATACATGTGATGGGGATCTGGACCAACAGTATCAGATAGTAATAACTAAAAAGCTCTATAGGTACAGCTGTGATGTTCTCTGGTGTTACAAACACCATGTTTCCCTCTGATGGCTTCCTGAAGCTTCCCTAAGGATCAATTCATTGGCTGTACAAGTATAGCTGTACTGACTGGCTGTGACAGCCACTGAGTATGCTTTGCTTCCCTCAGTGGTACGCACATGAAGCAATTAATGTGTACAGAAGTAGGTCCTGTAAAAAGGGATGAGTGAACAGGCCAAGGAGTGAAGCCAATTCATGCTGTCCTTGACGTTATATTGATGGTATTGCCTCCAATGGGGTGTAGTGGTGAGGATTTGCCGAAGCAAAGCAGAATCCTTCCTGTGCCTTCACGCTTTCTCTTTCCCAGGGAGGATGACCTGCCACCCAAATGCTCCTCCACCACCAAGACATTCCACGCTGATGCGTCCTCATCGGAGAACGACACCCTCACGTCCTCCAACACCTACAACAGTCGCTATTGGAATGATCCCAAGGCCAATCACGCCACAGACTCCTTCACCCGCTTCAGCAACAGTAATGATGCCCGCCAGCCACCCTTCTCCCGCTCGGGGAGCACAAGCGCTCGGCCTGTCTATGCCAATGGTGGCCACCCCTCCCCAGCTGCCCCTAAGACGCTGGTGGTGACAGCCAGCACAGCACCATCCCCACAGGAGGTGGCCCGGAGCAACGGCTCAGTCAGCAGGAAGCCTCGGCTTCCGCACACCCGCTCCTATGCTGTCAGCCAGGCCACACTGGAGCGGATTGGGGCTGTTCCTGTCATGGTGCCCGCCCAGAGCCGGGCTGGCTCACTTGTGTAGGGGCACGCTGGTAGCTGAGAGCTGAGCAAGGGCCTTGCGTTCCAGGGGAGCGAAGACATGGCTGAGAGACCCTACTCCTTCCTGAAAGGCAGTGAGGCGAAGGTGGGCCTCTCAAGGCCACTGCCAGCCACTGGGGCAGCTCCGGCCATGCTGCAATGCCCCCCAGCTGTTGGGGCTCCACCATGGACGCCACAGATGTGCCAAGGCCACAGGGCATTGGGGGCCTTCCCTGGCTTCTGGGCCCTGGCTGGGACCCCCTCCCAGCCTAGCCTCAGGGCTTTCGCTTTTGTTTCCAGTTTGTTTTGTTGGGGGTCATTTCTGTTCACTTGGGTCCTTCAGGGAGGTTTGGGAAGATATATATATATTTTTTTCTGTTGTTATTGCTGTTTTATTTCTTAGATGACAATGACCAGTGTGGGGCAGGGAAGGACAAGAGGGGAGGTGTGCCAGGTGAGGCACACCTTGTCATGAAGGCTGTGACACCCTCTCTGCCGCCTCAGCCCTACTGCTAGATGAAGAAGATTGTTGGGATGGGGACAGCCATGAAGGAGGCACTGACCGAACTGGTGGTGCAAGTTGGCAGCACAGCTACCAGCCAAACCGAGGGGAAGGCTGGGCAAGGATGTGGGCCAGGGAGTGTTTCTCTTTATTTATTTTTTTGCTGTTCTTCCCCTCAGCTCTGACACACACACACACTCATGCACACGCAAATACTCCTCAGGCTGGGTGTTTTTCAGCTGCTGCCAGAGCCCTGTTCGTGGCTGTGGAGTGTGCTGCTGTCTGGGCCTGTGTCCATGAGAAGCAAAGCAAGGGCACGTTGCTGCTACAGGCCCCATGGCTTTTATTTGGCATTGCTGAGTTTTTGTGGAGGCGGAGTCCTGAGCAGAACCTGCTACACCTAGGCTGCTCTTATGTGGAGTGAGGGCCTTCAGACCTCACAGCTCTGGTGTTTGCATGGTGGGTTTTCCGTACTGGGCTGCCTAGAGGGCTTCTCTGCACAGCAGGGCACATGTTTGCTTGGGGCCCTCACACAGAGGCACCATAGTTTTTGTTCCCTCTCTCCCACACATGCAAACTTCCCAGATGCTGAGTTTGGCAGGGTTTATTTCCAAATCCTTTTCCTTAAAAAGAATGAAAGCAGAGACTCAGTGGAAGATGTAATTCTGTGGAAGCCCGTGTGCTGTTGCTCTGCCTCTCCTACTCCCGCACTGGTACTTATGGCACCTGCTGTTGCTCTGCCATCCCTTTACAGCCAGGGGGTGGCTAGCACCTGTCCTTTTACTTCTTCTATTGCAACTAAATAGCCTTAATCAAAGCCAACAGTTGAAACTGCTCAAGGAACCTGATGCCATTGGAGGGATGGACTAAGGGCTTGGACTTTTCCTTCTGAGAGAGCCCTGGCTCAGCAGAGCCATGCCTAGGTGGGTATCCCCAACCTCCTGTGTAACACCAAGCCTTGCACATATAAAGGCAGTGGTGACCTCCAGAAGTACCAGAGACCTCCCAGATCACATCTGCTCTTGGAAAAAGCAATGTGAGTGCTCGCAGGTGAATTTCTGTATCTCTCATTGAAAAAAGGATCTCGTTAAGCCAAGAGACTTGTCATCCCCTTTTCCTTGTCCCAGCACAGCTTTACTTTCCTTAGCAGTGCACAAACCTTCGGCAGGGCCTTCTGCCTGAGCTGTACCTTTCAAATGCAAGCACATGCTCTGAGAAGGAGGAGGAGAGTTGAAAGTTGGGTTCTTACATGAATACTTGCTTTTGGGGAGGTTGTGAGCACCTGGGCAGCAGTAGGCTTGAAACTTGGCTGAGATTTTGTGCCTTCTTTGCTTAAAATAAAGAAAAAAAAAGAGAAAAAGAAAAAAAAAAAAAAGGAAAAAAAAAATCCAGCCTCCCTTCCTTCCCTGTCCTACACAACTCCATCCAAGAATGAGTGCAGACCACAGTGGTGGCACAGACAGGGAGTTGCTGTGTATACACACGTTTCAGAGCAGCAGTCCTCTTCCCTACCTCTCTTTGCTGCTGCGTAGTAGGTCTGACTGGGGGAAGAAGAGTAGCTTTTGAAACCCTGATGTGGGAAGGGAAGAAAAAGCATTCAAAGGAAAGCGCATACACATTCTCTCTGCTTTGGAAACAATCCCTGTGTGATATTTACAGGAACACTGCCCTCAGCAGGCCCTCTCCTCTAGTGGGAAAGCTCTTCTTGTCCCTACCTTCCATAAGACTGTTCACTCCTTTCTTTGTTCTTTCTAATTGTATAAAATTCAATAAAACTTTATTCATATAAAAAAAGGAGTTTACACTGCTTGCTGGCTGCTTCCCCTTTCCCCTAATTCTGTAGCTACAATGAATTTGGCTGTTGGTACTCAGTGACCATGCAACCACAACTTGACCCTTCTTAGGACAGCCAGTTGGATAGTGCACCCTGCTGTTATAGCCTTGTGTTGCTCATTCATAATATTGATACCTTGCCCTTGAAGGTACCATTTCCCAGGCTGGCAAGATCTGTGCTTCCCTAGACAAAGGTGAGTTCTATTTTTTGTCATTCAGGAGATGGGGATCCTTTGTACTGCTTTGGGTGATATGGGAAAATGTAAAAATTTGCCTACCTTTTGTTACATTAGTTTTCTAGTCTGAGACATGGCATGTTCAACTCTGATGCAAAGTCTAAGGCAGTCATCAGGAAGACCTTCTCTGACTTTCGTGGGCTTCTGAATGTATTTGATGGGGGAAACTGTCAGGAAGTTAACTAATGTTCTGAGTGCCATGGGTAGAGCATTCGCACTTCCAGGGAGTAAGGGGATTGGGAAGCACATACCTCTTGGTATCAACAGCTGCTAGCAGAAGGTTGTCACTAGGCCAGTCTGATGTTTTGCCATTTTTTTCATCTATGCATTTTTTCTCCATGTTTCATTTTCCTTTCTTCTTCTCTAAACTCCTCCAGATACTCTGAGAATGATTATTAAAACCAGAAAACTACAGATCCAACAGCAATGTTAATTCAGCCCTGATGCACACATATCTTGTTCTCATTCCAAGGTATTTTTCAACACCTAATTTAAAATATTCCTTTGATTGTATTTTCAGCTGTTGGTTTTACAGTAGCTGAGATGACTGCATTGCCATTTTGGGAGAGTTGCTGGAGGAATCTTAATGTTTGCATTTTTCATCTTTTGATTGTGCAACCTTGATGTGACATTAATAGTGTCTTTGCATTTTATTCCCATGATAGTCCTGTCAGTATTCTGCTCTGCTATCCATTCCTTGCCACTGGCTTGCCCTTCACATCATTTTTCTGCGCATCTCTGCCTATTGATCTATAGCAGAATTTCCCAAGATACAGGACAGTTTACTATGTTTGTGCAGCACCTACTGTGCTGGTGCTTTAGCTGTAAGTTGTACCAAATGAGGCATTGCTGTAATACAAATTTCTAGCTAAAAATAATACCTTTAGAGGTCTTGATATTGAGCAGCAGCATTAAAAAGCAAGCAAAGGCTCAAGCTATTACAGTTGTAAGTGAAAGTCCCTACTGAAATGCTTGAGTTTTCCAGCAGCCTTCAACCACAGTTGTGTGGTGGGGATTGCCCCCCATTGTGAGTGCCACAGATGTTACTTTATGATGTTAACCATCAGTCAGATTACCTCCCGTCAAAGACTGTTAGAAGGAAATGTGTTCTAACACAAGGAGTAACAGTACTTTTAAGTGTTGAGAAAGAGAACACAGAGCCACAAGAGGATCTTGCACTTGAGCAGCAGACATTTTTCTAGAGGTTGGTGGAGATGTGAGCTCTATTTCAAAAGTCTAGGAAACCTGGTCTGAAGACAGCCAGGATTTTTTTCAACTCACGCAGCTTTTAGATTTGGATCTGCTGATTCATCTGAACTAAAAAAAATCTTGCCCAGATGCATGCACTTCAGCAAACTCTTGCCAGAATGCAGACAAGTTTCCAGTAGGAGACAGTCTGCCAGATGGTGTCCTAAAGGCTGAGTGGCTACCTGTGAGGACCTGGGATGCTCAGAAGATTGAGCTTCCTTATGTCATGATTTAGGTCTTGGTGAAAAGCACCTCAAGCCAGGGTGGCCTCAGATGACACAAAGACTGATATGACTACGTGATCCATTTGGTGCTGGGCAGGAGAATTCAAACTGAAATGTTTTGATCCTTCTCTACCCCCTCAAAGCAAAATAGTGGGGGAATTTTTATGATAAATTTCTGTTTTCATCCAACACAGTGATAAGCTTTTGGTAATGAGTGGATTTCTCTTGGAAGCAACATTTTGCATCTCGGCTTCCTCTTGTTCAGGTACATGAGTACCTTTGTGTGTCTGTACTCTAACAGGAATTGAAGTGTGCATATGTGTGCCATAAACTGAGTGCACACAAAATGGTTCAGCAGATTCACTTAAAATAGTCTTGAGCACTTCTAAGATATAGAGTAGGGAAAACAGATAACTTGCACCCGTTAACATCAGAACAAACCCAAGAGAAAGATAATACATGGCAAGAACTTTGGGCCTGGAGTGGGGAATACTGTTATTTGGGCAGCAGAAACTGGGTAGACTTTTTTTTTTCCCAAATCCAGGACTCTGGCATGTTTTCTTTGATACATTTCTCTGACAGCAACTACTAATAAAGCACTTCTCATTTCCCTATGGTAGAGGCTTCATGGCTTTAGACAGCGCTGCCTATATGTAGAAATGGGACCATACTCCTACTAAGCCTCCTAATGCCTTTTCTGCTAGTTCTTTTTTCCTGTTTTTTTTTTTTTGTTCCTTCTTCCTGCTTCCTCTGTAGCATGTTTGAATGAGAAATGGGGTTGGCAGGAAGTTTAATCTATCTATGTTAAAAACACACACACAGGCGTCCCCCCCCACCACCCCCACCAAAATCCCGAAACACATAGCAGCAAAGAAGAGAGGAGATTAAGATGCAGCTTGTATGGATGGCTGGGAAGCAATTCTTCAGCAGTGGATGTGGCCTGGATCAGCTCCTGGATTTGGACTTAGTAAAATATGTTTGTAAAGGGGATGATGACTTGCCTCCTGTTGATATACTTATA